TATTTTCTGATAAGGAAAAATAGAATCCCAGAATATTATTCTATTTTTCTTTATTAGAAAATATTATTAAGGATGCTTAACGATCACAACTTTCAAATCCTGATAAAAAAATTGGTTTGAGTTTGTTCTTCAAACATATTCCAACAAGTCAAATAATTGAGCATCAATTTTCAATGGTGCTTTAATGAAAAATTGACGCTTAATTTTTAAAAGTTGATTTTTTTCCGATTTCGAAGTATTCGGGGAACACACATTTTGGCCTCTTTAATATAACACCCCTATTCTGAATGGCTTCTAGCATAAATATAGTAGGCGATAGCCAACCTTGCACTTAATGTAAACAAGTAGAAGGCTGATATAGTAGCCAGACCATTAGACGGACGAGTTATACAGCAGTTGTCTTACATACCTTATACGAATTTAAGTTGTTAGAAAAGAACATTTCTTAGTAGCTACTACTCAGAGTAAACAAAATCTTACTTCTAAGAAGACATGTGATATTTATATTGTTGGAAAAGGGTAACAAATGTTTGCTGTTTATATGTTTATATGATATACAACTAATATTTCGTGTATCTATTACAAGTAATGCTCTTTGTGCTGCACAAATTCGAAGTAAAACGTTTACTCAATTAGTTCTATTTTTGGACCGAGATTATTGATATATAGGCGTCTTCGACATTAAAAATTTAACGTCTAGATATAGACTTTATTATTAATAGTATTTCCTGAGCTTGCCAAAATATAGACGCCTTAGTTTTAGACATTGGCCGTTCGAATGTCGAATCTCGATGAACTTCATTTTAAGATCAATCGAAGTTATTTTTGAATTTTTTGTTTTGATGTTTTCGTCGATAAATGTCTCTTTTGAACGTCGACTGGTCCCATCGTCTTCAATGCTCATCATAAAACCTGTGCGGAATTCAGCAAACCACTTACAAATTACTGGCCCACCAGACCCAAATCCCCGTAAATACTCCGCGCTTACTCCACACACACTTATCAACTCACTTTTGGGTAAAACATAGTGTTTCATTAAAACTCAAAATTCCTTTTCATATATTTTAAAGGTTAAATCAAACTACAAAAGTATGGATACTAACATAATACTAGGAGCATCCTCTGGAAACTATGAGGACTTTTCAGCTTGCTTGGTTTTTTTGGGCTGAGGATATAAAAGTTCAAGTTGTACCTAGTGTGCAAAAAATAATAATCTTCATTGTTGAATATTTGATAAAATTTTAATACCAATTAATTTCAATTCTACCTCTTAAGGATCTTGCTACTTATATAGTGTAATATATGCAGCCAGAGAGAAACGAAACATTTCGCAAGTAGTGAGAAAATATTGTATAATATTAAGAGAGAACTAAAAAATTTGATCCAAAAATGCTCGCAAGCACATGTCAAGCATTGATCCTACAAGATTTGAATTTATGTATGATTTTATACAACTTTTTCGACGTTGTTGATACATTCCACTTTAAGGATCAAGTATTGCCACAAAATATACTTCTCTTTCCAAGAACATTTATAGCATCTTTCATTCACTTTCTGAGGCAGTCTTGAATTCTTCGTTGAGTTTTATATCAAAAATTCAAATAGCTGACTCACTGAATTTTAAAAACTTTACCAAAAAGTGACTGAAAATCATTTTAATAGAAATTAACATTAGGCGTTCCAACGCTTAACTGCTGTACTCCAGCCATAATTAAACTCACTTTTAGCTGTCACTGCAAAGTTTGCACAAATTCTCAACTATTACATATTTTCAACCAAGCACAGTACACTATTTTATAAGAACTCAAAAGTGTACTATAAAACCAATAAAATTGATTTTATAAAAAAAAATGTTTAGAATATCTTTTGAACCCAAAAGTTGCGTATGTGCGAACGACCGAGACGCGTAAATCAATGATGAAATATTGATTGCTAGGCAAAGGAAAAAAAAACCAAAATTAATACAAATTAGGTTAGTTTAACATTAAAATGTCAATTTAAACACATAAAATGATATTGTATAATGATAAGACTTAATGAAATATAAAACAAAAAATTATTTGCTGAAAGGCACCAGAAGTGTATTTATGTAATAATCAAGCGTTGCAATCGTTGTTTTTGCAGTCGATGTATGAAATTTGGAACGAAACGCGAAATAATATTAACTTGACATTTCATAAACGAATACATACGCGCGCTATCTAACTCTTTAATTATATATTAAGGATTAGAGCGGTATGTAGTACACTTGCATACATACATACAAAGCAAACAATGCAATAGCATGATATTCTAAAACACATATGTATTTGCATATAATTACTAACACACATACAAGTATACTTACATACTCACATACATAGCTGCGTAATTCATCTCATGTGTAAATATATTAGTCAATGGTTAGGCCATAAGCATAGGATAAATTTTATAGCATAACTAAGAAGGTGTATAGATCTGTAAATTTGAGCATAACTAAAATTATTCATCAAAAAAACTATATGTGCGTCCGAGTAAGTTTGTTTCTTCAGAATAATTAGAAAACATTTAACAGTTTCTCAGCAAAATCATAAGACAACTCTGCTAGGAATAGCGAGCTTTTAATTTTGATTTATTATATATAATTTGAAAAATAACAGCCTTACAATTTACAAATTCAATGAATTTTAAGTTGTCTGATAAAAAGCTAAAAGGGGTAGAAGATGGGGGTCGATCAAATATCTAGATGTGCTGTTAATAACAATTTTAGTCACATATTTCAATATTTCAGCCCCGACTGTAACTTTGTTGTATGAGCAAGTGAATAACAGCAAATAGTCGAATAAAGCTGGAGTAGAGCATAGCCTCTAGAAAGCCTCTAGCCTCTCTATTTGAAAACAAAACAAATACTATTTTATGTACATTTGAAGATCTTCGTATAAAATTTATAACAAATAGGTACTTGGAATAATCAGAGAATTAATAATTTTTGTACTAAAGTCACATATTTTTAAATAAAATATTTAATTTTACTTTTTCCTCAATATGAATTTAACTGCCAAGAAATTGGTAATCAATTGCTCATACTGATCGGAACTAAAAATTATGTTATTATGAAATTATTATTTAATTATTTCTTTAAGAAATATCGCTTCTATTCTTGCTAGGCTTGAAAGTAATCTCATTCTGTTTTCTTGATTCCAGCTACAACTGTTGTTTTTTTCTAATCTGCAACATAAATCATGCATTGTTTAGTTATCTGGTCGATATAATGGTGTATTCATGCAAGTTAATTAAAATGCTATCGACTTGTCACTCCTAAGCTGATGGAATTCGAAAAGTGACAGAAACACCAGCCACTTTTTTGTTGTACAAGTAAAGTACTTTCGAAAGTGAATGTCTGTTTTCAAAATATTGTTTTACGTCCAATGTTTTAAAGCAATTTTTTGACTTTTGCATTTTGTATTTCTCGTGCTTATAAATGATTACACGACTTTTTTTATTTAATAAAATTACTCAAACCTAGAACATTTTGGACAAACTAAGTGAATCAATGTAATGCAGAAAATACCTGACACGCCACTAATAACATGCGAATAAAAGACGATACATTTTCCATAGATTTTAAAAATGTTCTATAATTTTTTATGTCAGAAAGTTTGATCGCTAACCCAAAATGCAAAGACAGACAGTGAGGAAAAAAGTATCAGGAGCCGAGTCTGACATCACATAGTCAAAATTTGTTTCCCTGTTTTTGTACTGTCATTCTTGCTACAAATTGTTCTTCTGAGTTAGTTAATTGTATATATAGAGAGCTTTATAACATAGGACAATATTTATCAAACAATTTTCAATTTAACGTTTGATTATGTTTTTTTGTGACCAGAAAACTGATACTCGTATCATAATTCTCCACTTTAAGTGCTCATTAACTATACACGGTAGGCAAGTTTGTCGCTTAAGTCTTTTAATTTTGATCATTATTTTGAATGGTACAAAAATTTTGAAGCTAACTGCAGATATTTCTAATATGTATACACACAAAGCCGTGTTTAGAACAAACACACGTGTGAAATAAATATGCAGCCAACACACCATATGAGAAAGAAGTTTAAAAGGGCGTACATACACATACATATTTATACGACTACAACTTACCTCTCCACAAAGAGAAAATTTGTTTTAATACATTTTTCACATACGCACATGCATAAATACAATTTCAATATAAAAATAAAAACAAAAATAAGAAATATTTATAAGGAAGCACTTTATTTTGTTGATGAGCACTTTGAAAGCAAACCCTCATTATATATAAATGCAAACAAAAATAAGAAACTTAAAAAAAATCGAAAAAATATAAAATATTTAAAAAAATATAAACGTAATTAACTAAGAAGTTGAATAGATTAAAGCAAAAAAATGGAGATCGAACGAAAGTGGAAGAACCATTTCTAAAGAACTGTTAACTGTTGTGAATTTAAAGAAATATTAAATATTAAGTAAAAATAAATTAAATATTAAATCAAACCAAAAGAAAAATTAAAACAAAAAAAGGATATTCCATAAACATAACGTACACACTAGTTAAATATAGTTGAATAAACAATTGAATGTTGATCGTTGAAATGAATGAACGCAAACAACTGCACTCAAATGCATACACACACACACACATACTTACATACATATTTATGTATATATATGTGCACACAGATATGTATGTAGCCAACATGTATGCACTAATGCCAAGTGAAAGTTCCAAGTAAAAACTTAGCTACTCGATGGCAAATAAAAGGAAAATGTGCTTAACAAAAATTGGAAAATTGAAAATTAATGAATGCATGCAACAAAATGTTGAAAACGAAACCGACACAACCGATTTCGTATTCGATTTTGTTTAATTGAACTCGAATCTAACAATATAAGGTCTAAATTAATTTTAGTTAATGCGTAGTGTAAATTATAGATATGTATGCGTATAGCAGATGGCATTAGCATAGGCTAAGTTAAAGTATGAAATATAAAATAAATATACATAGCAACAAATAAATAAATAAATGAATAAAGTTTAATTTAAGCAAACAAAACTGATTTGCAAAAATTCCAAAAAAAAAATCGTTTATTCTTTTCTCTTAACGAAATTTTCCGTTAACGGCAACCATTTTGTGAAGAATTGGCGCATTTTTTATTATGTCTGTATATTCTGCTGAGCATATTTTATTTCAGGCCTGCGCCAAAACTAATAATTCACTTACATACATACATACTTCTTGTTGTTACAGCACCAACGTCTGCTTATGAATCTAAATTTATTTATTCATAACTTGCTTCATGGTGTTTCAGGAATTCTTTTGCTTACTCATTTCACATGCATACATGCATACGTACGTACATACATTCATTGGGTTTTGATAAGTAGAGCATAAAGCATAATATTCGATTTACATGTTGGAAAATATGTAGCTTTTAAATATTGCAATGAAATTCACGATAGTTTGATATAGTTTTATGAAAACCAAATCACTGTACGCACTTTCAAACCAATCGGAATGGCAAATTAATTGATTGCTTACATTTTTACTTTCTTTAAACCATAGTCGCCACTTATTTAATTATTTAAGCACTTGATGGATGTTACCTAAATTGTCGACGCTCTCTCTACCTACTTTTAAATACTTAATTGTCAAAATATTATACCTCTTTAACTTTTCCTAAATATCTTTATACATATATGTCGAATACATTATTAGAATTAGAATTTTAAACTCGCATATCTTTTTTTAAGCAGTTTAGTATTTTTGATTTAGTTCTTTTATATATTTTCCTAAATATATTATTAATAAACCTTTGCTTCCAAATATGCATTTGATAATTAGAACAAATTTAAAACAATTTTCTTGTCGTGAACTCCATCTGACAGCAAATGAAAATATTATAAAAACGTAAAGGTTCCAGAAGACTTCTTGCAAAATACCACTTCAAAAAGTTTCCTAACTACAAATGTAAAGTTGATCAAACAAAAATTGTCGTAGGAGCTAGTTTTTTTAAATTTTATCACAACAATACTGATTCGTTGAGTGATACTTCATTCGTAATCTAGGATCCATTTAATTAGGTCATTATCAAATTTAAATGTAAAAAGAACCCTGAAAAAATTCATATATTCAACATAAGGTTTCCGAGAGTCATTTTTAAGAGAAAGCTTCGTATAGTAACTAAAGCTATTTCGGTGTATTTTCCAAATACGCAAAATGCATTTTTCAAAGTGTAAATTCATTAATAGTATTATTTAGTTAATAATTGAAAATAACAACTTCATATTACACAGTTCATTCTGATTCATATAAATAATTAACAATTGTCTGAAATCATCTCCAAATTATATAGAATTTCACAAAAATAATTCATAATCGTCCTATATATATACCTTTCGCTGTCTAAACTATATGAAATTCTGGGCTGTATTTCAGTTTAAAATTAAAATGTGTAGAGAAGCTTTTAAAATAATATTAAAAGTGGCAAGTTACTTAAGAGACCCGGTTGAGAATGGCATGTTCACACTGAAGTAAGCGAACAAAACAGGAGAACTGTTGATGCCTTCGCACATACCTTTACGCTACCTTTCTCTACAAGTCATTTCACTTAAGAAAACAAAAGTACTTTAACTCGTACTTTGTACAATTTGGTTTAATTTTTTGCTATCATATAAATAAAACATTTTCAATTTCACTTCAATTCCATCAATGGTTGTCAACAAATACGAAATCACCAGCACTATAATTGAGCTTGGAAGTTATATATATATTTACAATATTTATATATATATAGTATGGACTCGTAGATGTATTCTTACCGCATTTGAATCGAATATTATGCTGCATTTTATTAACGAATGTTTAGAATTTTAGTTGAATAACCGAATTTTTTTTTAAAATTCACATTTCTCTCTCTGTTTTTTTTTTTTCGTTTTCTATTTTTTCAAATACTTGCAGACGTCAACATTTCTAAAACAAAAATCATCCGCAAACTGACTTTGTATGCTTTACAGGTGATTTTCAATAAATAAAAAATGCAACATTGCACTAAAACGAAAAATAATAATTTAACTAATTTTAAAATAAAAAGTCAACAAACCAATATAAATCAATTGTAAGCAGTGTTTAATAGCGAAAGTTCTTTTTAATATCTAATTATGTTCATTATAATAAATATTTACGCGTCGCAACTAACCTCAGACACAAAATGCGTGGAAGCTAAAGCTTTTGAACCTCAAATTATCCGCCACCTCATCCTAAGTTTTGAAAGCCCAATTACAAACTTTAATCCTTAAAGCAGCAAAGCCAAGCAGCAAACAAAAAATATATTAAAAATATACAAATATCCTTATTATCAACCCTTTTTGAAGCCTCTAAGCAATTTTAGTTTGTCAGTTATTTACTTAGTATGCCGTCCATCCCCGCCCCCCCAAAAAAAGAAACAAAAACTTCTTGCAACTCTGTTAATGACAAACTTTTTATTCTGTTTCTTTCGTTTCTGCTCTTTTCTGAAATTTATTTGCAGATATTATCGCTAATTTAGATTTAAACGTCAGACCAAAAACCAATAAGCACCTAAAAACACCCCGCAAATACAAAATACATTTATGTATCTAGAAAATATAACGGGCTTAGGAAGTGTATTAGTTACATTCACATGTGAAATAATGTCAAGATTTCTACTACTCCTTTTAGATTTATACTTACACATTAAATACATACTATATATGCTAACACACACGTGTGTATGTATGTATAAACATGCGTATGCATGCGCATAAGTTTAGTTATTGTCTAATTTTAGTTGAAATTCCGCAATAAAAATAATTTAATTGTAAATAAATGAAATTTAAAGATAACAAAATTTAGTTTGTAATATTGTAAATATTTTTATATACGAGAAAACACAAATGAGTATTATTAGAATAGGTGCGAATTCAATTGTAAATTAGGAAAATGTATGTAAAAATAATGTGTAGAAATAATTTGAAGATAATTAAGCGGAAGATAAAAGTTTTGCCCATTTTATTTTGAGGAAACTCTGTAATGTTTTTAGAATTTTCGCATAACATATTTTATATAATTTTTTTATAAAGAAAAATATATTTCGATGATAATTTTTTTATTAAAAAAAAATTAAATTAGCAATTGCTCTGGTTTTTTTATCGAAAGAACCTAAACGTTTGAATGCCTAAATTTCAAAAATCTCTTTTATCATACTAAAGAATGTACATTTTACATTGATAATTCAGTGTGCAAATTTTTAATTTCTTTTGAAAAAAAAAAATTTTATAAAATAATTTATTTTCACTTTTTTATTATTATAGTAATTTTTTTTATTATAATTTTTTTATTATATATTTCAAATTTTTCTTTCAGATTTAATTTGTTAATCTTTTGTATATACATTTTTTTATTATATTTGAATTTCATTTGATTTAATTTACTCATAGTATTCTTCAATGAAAACCCTGGACGCAACTCAGACCATTACTTTTCATTTTATTTTTGATATTTTTATTTAAAACACTTCTTTAAAAAAATTTTATTGTGTGATATTGTTTTCAATATTTATTTCAAAATAAAAAAAAATGTTTAAACGTTTATTCCATGAAACAATATGTTTATACTTTTTTATATCCTTTATTTTTATTTTATTCACTCTTTGTTACTTTATTCACTTTTTTTAATTTTGTAATATTATTTTTTTATTTTTAATTTTTTAATTCTTCAATATTGTTTTTAACTTTTCACTTTTTTCTTTAATTATTAATTCTTTGTAATGTTTTAATAACTATTTTTTTTATTTACTTTTTTTCTATCAAAAACATTACCACAGCCAATATGTATTATATTATTTTTTTTAAAGATTTCTCAAAAATTCTAGTTCACACTTTGTAAATATTAAAAAAACGTCAGAAACAAACACAAAATCACTTTTGTTAAACAAGGTGTTTTGTATAGTTTATAAGTATAACTTGTACAAAGGAAAAATTCACATGCTCGTGCTAGAATTAATTTTACATTAAGATATATAAATAAAAAAATATACATAATTAGTTACAAAAACAGAAAACCAAAACAATTGCGGTAGTTAAGTGTGAATTAAAATCAAATAAAAAAGAAAAAATCAATTCAAATAATGAGTATTGCAAAAACAAAAAACCGAAACGAAATCAGATTAGTTCACATGCAACACAAGATTACAGGTCAATACTAATTAGTGAAAGATTTTCATAGAATTACAAAATAGTATAATAAATAAATAAGATGAAATGAAATAATATGTCTAGATATACCATATACGATTTAGAAAAAAGTAGCGGTAATAGAAATAATTTGCAAACAAAACGTACAGTCAGTTTATCATGGTGAATGTCGTCGTATGTATGTATGTAATGCAAGCAAGCAAGCACGCTACTGTTTTAGTGTACCACAAATACACCCACACACACACAAACGCACTTACACCCTTCCGAGCAAGTGAAATAATAATGCGCTATACTGACAGACTCCAAGACTCTCTACCCACATACATATATAGATGAAATTTCTAAATAATGAAACCAGGGTTTCCATAAGCTAACTATTGCGCATAGATATAGAAATTCTTTATTTAAGAACTTTTCACATTTGAGTCAACATTTTTTATCAATTTGTGTTTAGACATCTATAAAAATGCTGAATTTGATATTAATTAAAATCAAAAAATTCTTTATAATTAAAAACGAGCAATCCTTAACCCGTTATATCTATCCAAAAGGATTCTGAAAGCGAATCATTACTTATGGAACTTTGTAGAATGTTTCTATAACCTTGCACTTGAGAAATCATCGCCGTTAGCCAGCACATCTTCAATCTAAATCATAAATTATTTTGTAATGAAATAAATATTTCGCAATTTTGGCATTCTAGCTACATTCAATAGAATTCGTTGTTTATTTATGACACCACAAATTAATAGGTTATAATTATCATAGCCTTGTTTTTCAATTGCAAATCAATATTGCAGATCAGAGTTCTAAAAGCAATATTTTTGTGGCAACGAACTGCTATCTAATGGAAAGATTTACAATAGATTTTTCTTTAGATTTTTCAAACTTTTCGACTTATGCTAAACAGACCACAGACATTAATAAAGATTAATAGTCCACTCGATTCAAGTCTTCATTTTTAACCTACTTACATAAGGATCTTAAATATTTCCACCTCATAGTAGAGTTAAATGTGAGCATTATATTCAAATCCAGCCCCAAAAAACTGGTCTTATATATCTCTATTTTTCTTTAAAACTCAAACTCATAATCAATTTAAAAGAACTGCTTTTTGAAGCAAATTATAGCCGCAGACATTAAAAGGATCGAAATAAACTCCAAGTTTCTTGAACACTTCATAGTTGTTCAATGAACACGAAATGTTAACTTGAGTTTGCTGCGCGGCGAAAAGCATTTTAGAGGTAGGTTGTTATGTAAGGTTAGTGGACACAATTTAGTTCCTTAATCTAACTCAATCGGAGTTTTTTGACACTCAGACCGGCCACGTTTTAATGAAATACTTTAGTATGCTGCTTTAGTTTGCCCCAGAGGTTTTTCAAAATTAGTGCAGACAAGCCAGATACTTCTCTTTTTATTAATGGTATCTGAATTAAGCTTTTTTGTTTAATATGAGATTTAGTAAAGTTCATTGGCTTACTTGTATTACATATAATTACTAATTTTGTGTACTGGTGAATTGTTGACGTTACAATAGAGTAAGGAACATTTGTTAATTGACTCAATTAGGGGATTGACTTAATGACCGATGGTCGCTTTCGTGTAAGTTTTTTTTCTAATTGAGGCTAGTATTTACAATAAGCTGTTTTGTCCTGTGTTAGCATAAAATATTTCGCAAATATTTGTAGGTAATGTTCGTATGGTGACTTTCCTTAGACATTCTTATTGAAGATATTCTTGACAATCAGACAAAATCTAAAGATTCAGAAACTGTGACTGGGTGAAGATTTTAGTTAAACATATTTCAAAAATGTGTTTTTACTTATCGCAAAGGTTTTCTAAATGAGTGCAGTCGATTAAGACATATATTTTCAATTTTCTTTTTCCCTACCTTTCTCTCTTGTTTTAGCACTTGTTAAATTATTACATACAAGGTTTATACTTCTTTTTCCGAAAGCAGCGCTTGGTTTGTTAGCATTTACAAGTAGAAGTGGTGGGTGTAAAATATCGACGGTAGTGTGACACTCGTAGTTAAAAGAATTTACTCTAAATACAAAAATCAATACAATAAAGACGCAAAAATTAGATAAACTTAACACTAAAGCGTTAGGGATAAATGCAAAATAAACATACATATAGCATACGAAGAGCAAAACGAGGAGGCAGAAACTAGAAAAAATCGAAAATGAGAAGCGTTTGTTTGCAAAGCACACAGACTAAGGAAACAAAAATATTCTAAAGTGAATTTTCCACTAATTTGTAAAACAGAAAAACAAGAGAAACAAAACATAAGCAAAAGAAAAGAACAAAAACCAAAAGAAAACAAAAATATCGTTAGAAAGAGAGAGAGAGAGAAAGAGATAGATACGAGTAAAGTTAAAATCACTAATAAACCAACACAATATAGAAGTTAAGTCAATAATGTTAAATGTAATAGCGAAAGGATAATTATGAGATCGTAATAAAGCAGAATTAAATCAAATAATACTACTTAATTATAAAAACCACAATTGAACAAGCAAATCCACTTAGTTTTAAGCAGAATTCAAGTTTAGAAACAAACAAATTGGAATGTTTAAATGTGAATTGTCAAAAAAAGTAAACAAAAAAAAAACAAACAATCCAAGAAAACTGAAGGAACATTGCGTGCAGCAGAGAAACAAACGAAAACTAGGTCAAGAAACAGAGCACGCGAGAAGGCGTAAAATGTGAGAAGAGTGAAAACCAAAAAGCGTTGCAAAAATTTTTAATTTCATATTGAAATTATACAAGTAGTTTCTTTTACTTCCTCACTCTCGCATTGGCCACGACTGCATGCAATCGTACGAAAACAATCAAAGATGAATGCCAAACTAAATTCAAGCAAAAATACAACAAAAACACACACACATATATACACATAGAAAAATTGTGAAAGAAATGACAAACAACAACAAACCAGTTTCGATTTACTTTAAAAGCAAAGCAGGCGCATGCGGATGAAAAGCCGAAAAAATAAGCTACAATGAAATTAAGAAAGCAACAAAACATAATAATTTGAACAAATGACTGCCCACAGATACAAAAAAAAAGACAAAAAACACGTTATTAAATAAAGTAAACTGCAAACATAAGAGAACACAATGTATTGTAGTTAATTGACTTTTCGTCACGTTTGTTACAAAAGAAACAACAAAACAGAGGTAAAAAAGTTAAAAAAAAAACAAATAAAAGCAAAAACACATTGATATTAGTTTAGTAACAACAACAAGTAACGTGCAATACGAATAAAATTGAAATAAAATGAAATCAAATTAAATGTAATAAATAAGAAAGGGCTAACCATAGACCCCAGTGTGCTAATAGTGGAATTAAATTGATAAAACAAAAACAAAATAAAACAAAAATAAAATAAAATAAAAAATTAATTAAATGCAACAAGGCAAATATTGAAGATGAGCAAAGAAAAACACTTTAAACTAACGTACCGTTTAAGAATAAATAAAATTGCATGTAATTTGAAGAAATTTTAACCACTGCAGTTTTATTTCACACAGCCAAAAAAAAGAATATAAATAATGTGTCACTTATAGCTACTTGCCTCTTTTTGAGCTTTAGAAAGTATTAACAGGTGTCTGCAATTCGCGTTGGAGAGTAGCCAATGGAACAAACTATATACGATGTTCAAACGAACAGACAGCATACTCTTTTATACGAATTCAACTCGTTAACTGCGTTGTTGCTTTTACATGTAATTTCTTTGACAAGAGAGCAGAAGTAGCGTAAAGAAATAGCGAATCGAAGAAAGCTAATGTTTCGAAATATTTTACATTTTTGTTTGCAATTTTTAAGGCCTGCGAAGGTAGGAATAGATCGCCAAATTGTTTGCACAACTTCATGAGAGGCTTTGATTCATATATTTCAGCATACGCCTGTGGATAAAGTAATTTTTCGTTTATATACCAAATCATAGAAAGCCCTCGTGTGTTTTCCAGTTTTTTCGTTTTCAACAGTTTTTCTTGAAAGCAACACTTGCATTAAAAATGTTCCAATGAATTTGTATATTTTAAGAACCGTTAAAATTGTAAAAGCATTCTAGATGATATTCGTCTTCTAAACACTTTTAATATGAAGATATGAAGCAGGAGATATTTGAATGAAGCTCACGGCAAAGCTGTTTACAAAAAATTTAAAAGCATGTGCAGAATGTCATGTCATGTCATAATCACGGGAAGTCATTTTTTTAAAGCTATTGAAAATTCCACAAATATCTTCTAAAAAGTGGAATTTATTTCAAAATAATGTTTGAAAACTTGTATCTTATTTCATCAAGTTTTTGCATGGGACATTGTTCTCCCCCTTGGTTTATAAATTTTTTTGTTATACCAAGACCAGGGGTGTTAAGTTGCACGACCTCATTGGAACCAAAGGCCGCCCACATCAACATGCTCCAATTCAATCACGAAAAAGTCATAAATCATGGCTATATAGAGTTCTCCATTGAGCATACCAAACCGTGACTTTTTTGGGGATGTAACGGCGCTTTAACAATGGTTTGGGGATTATCATCAGTCCAATAAGACAATTTTATTTATTAACGTACCCAGTAAACCAAAAGTGAGCTTTATCACTGAACAAAATTTTCTTCTGAAAATCCGAATCGGTGGAGTTCTCGTTTTGGGCCTATTTACCGAGCATGCGACGCACTTGATGGTCGTTCGACTTCAATTCTTGCACGAGTTATATTTTGAAAATCCACAAACCCAGATCCTTTCGCAAAATCTTCCATATGGATAGGCACAGCTCATTTCAAAGTTTGTTCGAATTACAGACTCTGCTGGGTGATTATGTCGACCGAATATTAGACGCATTCGCTCGGACCATATCATTATCTTGGTAATACATTAGTACGATTTGCAAACGTTGTTCCGGAGTTAGTCTATTTATTATGAAATGGTGAACCGAGCTGGGTATAAAAAAGACAAACTCCGAAAAAAGTATTGCCTCATTGAAAACCACACGTCTAAAAAATATCCGTTAGATGTCAAATTTAAATTAATTTTAGAAGAAATTTATAACTAAATTAAGAAGGGAAATTCTTTAAGCAATGTTCTAACTTAAAACTAGTCCGGATATTAAAACCTGCTAAATTATATTTTCTTCTGACTTTCAAAGTATATTTTAGACCTTTTAGACTACTAATGTGAAATGGAAACTTGAAACATCAACTATTATTATTTTAAAAAAAAATTTTCCAATCGAACAATAAAATCTCTGGACGTTTTCTGTTTTCAAAGAATTTGCATTTTATATCATGGATGATTTGTTTTACAGAGAATGTTAATGAATATATTATTTTCATTATTCATTTACATTCTCTTTATTTATTTATTTTATTTTATTATTTTCATTATTCATTAAAATTCTTTTCGAATGTGCTCAATTCACATCTCTTATCATCTGTTCCCTGATGAATATATTTACGTTCTCTGTAAAGACACAAAGCGCTGAGAACGTATTTGTGCAAATATGCGTATAAACAGAGAACGTGAACAGACAAAGTCTGTTTTATCAGAGAATTCATTAACATTCTCTGGTTGAACACTTGGGTAAATTTTCAGGACAGTTAATATTAAATTCGTTCACTAAACAGACTGGTTCACTTTGAGCAGAGAACGTATTCATTTACGTTCTCTGCTTTGAGTATGTGAAAATTGTGTACATACTGTATTTTATGAAAATACCATGATATATTTTTAAACTCCAATACTTTTTTGCATTTTATACAATATGACAACATATTATCTAGTTTCTAAATAATAAATAATTGTTCTCACAAAATTTGTTATATCTCTTCAAAGTGTGTCCATTGAAAAGGTTAAACTTGCTCTCTAACTAATCACTGCTAGATGTCGCTGTACAAAACAGTTTGATTTTAAGAATAAGACATTTGTTACCTATAATTATAATTATCAATTATGGAACCAACTCACATTTCTATGTAGGTAAGTGTGTATGTTAAGGAAAGATATCGTAACTTTCCAGTTATCGTATACTGCTCCTCAGTTGCCTACTCACTTCAAAATAACACTTCCTGGCCAAAGTTTGAAGTGAAGAATTTCAAAATTAACATTGGTTTTGACCCTTTCAACGTTAAAATTAGTAATTATCCCTAGAAAATTTTAAACTTCATTTCATTCGTAACATCTCCGAAGTTTTCTTTTAAATTTTAAGAGTTCTGTTGATAATGATAAATATCGGCCGGCTTAGAGTTCTGAGTTTCGGTGTAGGGTCTTTTGTTGGTGAAGGTTAGGATTTTACGCCGCATTTCCTGGTAGGTGTCTTAATTATACATATGTTAAACTAGACTTATAACGGGTGATTCAAGTAAAGGTACTTTTTTTCAATAGCCTTTTTTGACAGATAACGCGTAAATCGTGTCATTCTGTCATGTTATTTTTGTTCAGTGTTTTTTGGCATTTTATTACGCCTAAACAATTTTTTCAAATCGTTCAACTTTATTACGAAACTTCACGTCCTGTATAGAATGTGTTTCGCGCGCTTTTCTCAACTAATGGCCAACTTCATCGACCTACAGAGCGTACTTTTCGCAACACCATCACCCATCTTGAGACGCAGCATTCATAATGAAGAAAATATAGCGGCCGTAACTGAGAGTGTAAACGAAGACCGTGGAGAGTCGATTCGACGCCGTTTGCAGCAGCTCGGAAAATTACAGCTTGCGCAAAAACTGAAGTCGCTCTACCTCCCCAAGCGACATCCCTTCGCTCTATGAGCTCTTGAAAAGTTCCAAGAAGATCCGACGTTTTCGAGCCAAGTTTTTTCATCGATGAGGCTAATTTCTGGCTCAATGGGTATGTAAACAAGCAAAATTGCCGCATTTGGGACGAAGACTAACCTGAATAGATTCTTGGGCTGTCATTTCATCCAGAAAAAACAATGGTTTGGTGTGATTTGTGGGCCGGTGGAATTATCGGTCCATATTTCTTCAAAAGTGATGCCGGTGAGAACGGCATGTTATCGCACCATGATAACCGACTACCTGATGTCTGAAATTAAAACTGGTGATCTCGACGACATTTGGTTTCAATAAGACGGCGAAACTTCCCACACATCGCGTCACTCAATGGATTTATTGAGAGAATACTTCGATGAGCAGATAATTTTACGTTTGCGGCCGATCGATTGGCCATTAGACTTTTTCTTGTGGGATATGTAAGGTCTTAAGTCTATGCGGACAATATCGCTTCGATTTAAGCCTTGGAGCAAAACATCACGCATGTGGTTCGCCAGTTATCAGTCAAAATGCTCGAACGAGTCATCAAAAATTGGACTCAACGGATGAACCATCTGAGACATAGCCGCGGACAACATTTGAAAGAGATAATCTTCAAAAAATATGTGCCAAAGAATTTTCTTTCGAATGATAATAAACATTCCCCGTTAAATTTTCATTTTCTTTGTTTTTCTTTTCTCTAATGGGATCACAGTTAAAAAAAATTAAATACAGAACAAGGAGGATTCAGTCATCAAGTTATAGAACTTAATTTCTGTTCGGGCAGCTTCTTGCGGAGAAAAGGACAGATATACAGATGGATATGGCTAAATCGACCGAGCTCGGTATGGTCATTTATTTTCAAGTATTTTTACTTTCTTCTGGGTATCAAAAATTTCGTGAAAAACTTAATATCGTATTCAGAAAGAGTAAGAGAGAATTAAGACTCTCTTTATTTGTTGTGACTTACAATATCCCCGCCGAACACATAAATAATCAACGGGCATATATAAGTAATAAATAATAATTTCTTATTTTTTATTTCCTTCAACAAAAAACTTACTAACGGCCAATGCTCATATGGGTAGGTCAAAAGCTTATTTTTTATTTTGCATAACCGTTCCGCTGGAAGCGGTTTCATTTGATTTTTAATGACCTCACCTCGTCGCATCGCTACTTGTCGGAGCAGACGAGTCAAGCACACCCCGTTAACCGGTGCTTCAGCTCACAAATTTCACTTAGTTATTTGCGTTAATATTTGAGCGCCGAGGCTTTGCTTGTTACATGAAAAACAAAAAAATTAAATAAAAATTTAGCTTGCAATAAAAATGCTAATTATCAAACGGTGAGGAAACTAAAAAGTATAACATAACGGCACGCGCGGCTCCGAGCAAGGTGCAACAGAGGTTACACTCTCGCATCTGCAGTGATCCAGTTATTTGCAAGTCCGTGCATACATTTAAATATAAATTCAATCGAATGACTGTCCGTCCATTTAAAACACGCCAAACACTCCAAAAGAACGGAACTTAAGAACTGCAACGGAATGCAGGCAAGAACATTGACTTTCCTTCTTTTGTATTTTTGACTCTCTCTTACAACATTGTCATAAACTTTACAGCTTTTTAGAAACCACTTGCACGCTTTTTGCGCTTTTATGGCAGCTCATATTATCCTGTCGAACGCCCAGCTAATTTTCTATCCGGCACTCAAAGTTAATCAGATTTCTGTGCGAGCCAACGGGCGATTGAATGCGGTGAGCACGGTGGCATTGGCCGCACCGTTGCTGGCGACACGTGATGCGCAAGGAAGGCGCATAGTACAACGTCAGACGGTGGGTAGACAGCAGGTGGGGGTGCAACAGTCCCAACCCGTGGGCGGGCAACCGTTGCAACCAATTAAGGGACCAGAACTACAACAAGTCGAAGTGCCACAATTCCAGCAGTTCGGAGGACAAAAAGTACCAAGAGGGCGAGCAAATGGAGCACCACCTCCAAATTTCCGAGGACAACAGTGGCAACGAGTTGAAGGAATTGGATCACAGCCTTCAATTTTCCAAGGACAACGACAACAACAGCAGCGAGTAAGCCTACAACAATATCAACAGTTTCAAGCACAACAGCAGCAATTCAGTGGACAGGAGGTACACCAAGTAAGAATGCAACATTATGACTGGCCGGTGCAAAGCAGCCCACAAATAAATTTTAATACCGCAAATTGGCATCAATATGGCTGGCAGCCGACCAACTGGCATCACGTGGGAAAATAACTCTAAAAAAAATTATCATCAAGTGAATATGCCAACGTGTTTGTGGTATGCATATATTTTTATACCCTGAACAGGGTATATTAATTTTGCCACGAAGTTTGTAACATCCAAAAGAAAACGGCGGAGACCATATAAAGTATATATATAAATGATCACCTTGACGAGCTGAGTTGATTTAGCCATGTCCGTCTGTCCGTCCGTCTGTATATACGCGAACTAGTCCCTCAGTTTTTGAGATATCGATCTGAAATTTTGAACAAGTCTTTTTCTTACCAAGAAGCTGCTCATTTGTCGGAACAGCCGATATCGGACTACTATAGCATATAGCTGCCATATAAACTGAACAATCGGAATGAAGTGCTTGTATGGAAAACTCTTTCATTTTACGAGGTATCTTCACGAAATTTAGCATGGATTATTATTTAAAGCATTAATCTAATCTCCGAAGAAATTGTATAGATCGGATGACCATAGCATATAGCTGCCATATAACCTGAAAGATCGGAATCAAGTGCTTGTATGGAAAACTCTTTCATCTGTCGAGATATGTTCACGAAATTCGGTATTGGTTTTTGTTAAATAAAGCTATGCAATCTCCAGAGAAATTGTATAGATCGGATGACTATAGCATATAGCTGCCATATAAACTGAACGATCGGAATTAAATACTTGCATGGAAAACTTTTTCATTTGATATATATATCTTCACGAAATTTGGCATAGGTTATTGGTAGAAGTATTGCAATATCCGAAAAAATTGTACAGATCGGATCACTATTGCATATATCTGCCAGACAAACTGAACGATCGGAATCAAGTGCTTGCATGGAAAAATTGTTCATTAGATAAGATATCTTCACGAAATCCGACATGGATTTCTCTCAATGGCATATAGCTGCCATACAAACTGACAATCTAAATTAAGTTCTTATATGAAAAAAATTGTTTACGACAAGTTATCTTCACGAAATATGGCATGGATGATGATTGCCCAAGATATCGCTACAATCTTCGAACGAATTGTTCATATCAAACCACAGCTATAATAGAAACGGACCGATCAAAATAAATTTTTGTATGGAAGTTTTTAGTATGGATTATTGCTTAAGATATGACTTCAATCTTCGAACGAATTGTTAAGATCGGACCACTATAGCATACAGCTGTCATAGAAACTGACCGATCAAAATCAAGATCTTGTATGGGCAATTTTTTATACGACAAAATATATTCACAAAGTTTGGCATGACTTACTTTTTACATTAAATAGAGAACCCATTTTTTCCGTATGTAATATAGTTTGTAATAGAAAATTAAACCCTTAAATTTTTCCAATATGTTAAATAGTGAGTAACATAACTAATCAATCTTCTCCAATATATTTACATTGTAATCACTTTACAAAAAATATATTATAAACAAATCAGATTAATTAATAATTTATACTGTCCAATTTGAGCTTTCAATAAAATTTTACTTATATCTGCCAAAAACTGTTTTGGTTGTGCCAAAAGTAAGGTATGACATGTAGCAATAAGTTGAAAATTGTGTTAAGAATGGATACATATGAGTAAGGAGCAAAAATATTATTTAATTAACCATAAAATAAACAAATCCCTAATTATTCAAGATATATTATTATTTATTAATAATAATAGAACACTAACTTTGAAAACATAATTATTCAGTTTTAAAACCCTAATTAACTGATGGGTAGGTACAAAACATTCTAGGTGGAATAACAGGTAGGAAATAAACATTGTTCGAAGCGTAGCTCAAAAGCATAACCTAGGTAAAAAAACTTCGATAATGCCCCTTTTGTATTTAACGTCTTAATATTTCCACTAAAATTACTTGATGAAATTTGGCATGGATTATTGGCCACGGTAACAATAAAATAGCATAAGAAATTTTTCAGATCTGATTACTGTATCATATAGTTGCCATACAAACTGATCGACCTAAATAAATTTTGGTATGGAGGTAAGTAGACAATTGTGTTAAGAATATATACATAAGAGAAAGGCGAAATAATATTTTTAATACCCATAAAATAAATAAATCCCTAATAATTCAAGATATATTCTATTTAATAATAATAATTTTAAAACCCTAATTAACTGATGGGTAGGTACAAAACAAAACCTAGGTAGAAAGTAAACATAGTTCGTAGGGGAGGTAGAAAATATAACCTAGGTAAAAAAGAACCTCTACAATGCAACTTTTGTAATTAACGCCTTAACATTTCTTCAAAAATTCCTTGATGATACCAAGAAGGGCAAAAGAGTTTGCAGATGTGAAGTCGGGCTCTAAAGCATTCAATAAATAGGGCAGCTTAAACTTTCAACAAGGCACACTTTCAAAACAACGAAAAAAATCCTTTTCAAATAATAAGATTTATTTTAAAAATATTATTTTTTTTTAAGAAAAAGCATTATTTTAATTCTATTATAATTTTTCCGCTGTTTATTTTTAGTATACTTTTTATTTGTATAAATATCTTATTAATTTATAAAAATGCGAAGAGTATCTAGGCAATCACAGGAACAAAGACGTCGCAATGCTCTGAATCGAAGCCGACAACAATATAGTCAAAATTTGGAAAATAAAAGACAGAGGTACGACGACTATATTGCCGAATTACACAGCTCAAATTTGGAGTACCGCAATGAGGAGAGAACACGTGACAGTTCTGTACGTTCCACTAGACGACAGAACCTTCTTCACAGAGTAGCAGCATAATACAGTAGGTCATTCAAACAGACGTTTGAATCCAGAATATAGAGCAGCGGAGCGCAACACAATAAGACATTCGAACAGGCGCTTGGATCCGGAATATAGAACTGAAGAACAGGAACGCAACACCGCGGAATATTTAAATAGGAGAAACAATCCGGAATATAGAGCAGCGGAGCAGGAGCGCAGCACAACAGGTTATTCGCACAGGCGCTTGGATCCGGAATATAGGACTGAAGAACAGGAACGCAACACCTCGGAACATTTAAATAGGAGAACCAATCCGGAATATAGAGCAGGAGCGCAACACAATAGGACATTCGAACAGGCGCTTGGATCCGGAATATAGAACTGAAGAGCAGGAACGCAACACAGCAGAATATTTAAATAGGAGAACCAATCCGGAATATAGAGCAGCAGAGCAGGAGCGTAACACAATGGAACGTTCTGTACGGCGTCAGAATGCAATAATAAGGGAAGAAGAGAGGCAACGAGATGCAGCATTGAGGACAAGTCGTCGAGATGATCCAATAAGAAGACGTCGTGAGCAATTTTTAAATTCTTCTCAAAGAAGAGTGACCCGCCAGCAAACCAGGCAACAACTAGCAAACGAGCAGGAATCAACGTTGGAAAGAGTACAATTGCATGGATCGGATCCCGCAAATCGTCAGTTAGAAAGCGAGAGGCAAACCAGGAGGAATATAAGGAGACGTCGTGAACTTTCTCCTGATGCACAGCTAGAAGAACAAGAACGTCAACGTCGAGCTGCCAATATCTTTGATATGTACGCATTGTTGATAAAGAAAGGACCCACTGAATAATGAGTGTGCTGCGGTGGCACTTGGTTCCCTCATCAAGTGAAAAAACTAGAAAAATGTCAGACTTCAACAAAATTTGCGCGCTCAGAAGATGCTAGAAAAGTGTTTTATCTGTCATCAAAATTTCCGTCTTCGAACCAAAAGTACAACTTTTGCAACACATGCTATCGTATTGTTAGGAAGGCAAGATACCAAATATCTGCCTATCGGAAGGATTGGAGTTTCCTGATATTCCGGAATGCCTTCAGGATTTAACGTGTCTGGAAGAAAGACTGATATCACCGAGGATCCCATTTATGCGCATCATCTCCTTAGGATATGATCGACAATGTGCTATTCGTGGAGCAGTGGTGAATCATTTCGGTAGTAGAGACAGTCACCATGCTTCCACGAAGATTTGATAACAGCCATATTGTTCAAGTGCACTTGAAACGTCGATTGAAATATGAACAAAATTTTGTGACGGAGACACTGCAACCAGCAAAAATATTGGAAGCACTAAACTATCTGCTGGGTACAGAGCTCTACGTCAAGCATAATATCCAAATGTAAAGTGATTGGCTGGCAAATGCTGGAAACGAGGAAACTGTGCTATTATTGTAAATTCTGCAGATGAGGCAGAAGTAAGAAACCTTCTTAATGCCCGTCAGGAAAATGTACCGCTTGAAATGGAAAAGGATTAAAATCCAGGTGGTCAGGAGACTTTAATGGGCAATCAACCCGTTGAAAATCGATCCATTGAACGGGTTGCAATGGCACCAGGATCGATTCCGCCAAATGCTAAAATTATTACAAAACGGACTGGCTAAGTAACGCACCACAATTGGAAAGTGATGGAAGTATTACACGTATATGCTTATATTGCATGTATTTCGGCGTACTGCTGGTTGAGTAGCCGAGGGCGGGGCATACATGGGGATTGAGTTATATCCATATTTACATGTATGGGCAGAAGGCATATTCGGTATGCATTTTGCTGTGCGTGCAAAAGATATGTAACTTAATTTTGCGGGTTTTGAGGTTGTATGCGCTTTTCATACTTATTGTATTGCGGTTGTTTCTTTTATAATTTTATTATCTGTACTGTTTGTTTAACATTTCTTTACCATCGGTTTATTACGGTTAGCGACTCCACGCCTGGCTCAGATATGGCCAGAATGGGGGCTCCTTTGAAACCTTTGAAGAGGGATCTTGCGAGAGTGAGATTTGTGATTTTCGCCCACTTTTTGAAGTGAGGTTTACAACTTTTACAAGTGTTTCCCATAAACTACCCGTTTGATGAGCGCTTAGATAGTTGCGATAAGTGCGACCTTTGCTTTTTGCAAGTCTGGGTGCTTCACTGTATCACATTGCAAGTATGGTGACCCTTAACTTTAATTTTGAATTGTATTTGATTGTGAAAATTTAAGCAACTATGAGGCACTATAGTAAGAGAAGTGTCGATTTTTGGACATTCTATAACAATTACTCGTATGTTGCGGACGATATTATGTATGGAAGTGGGCGGTTGTGGCCAAGAATCGGTAGATTCTGATATCGTTAAGATTGTTTGAGGACTGTGATCA